AACATGAGTGCAGGTGTCCACAGAGGCCAGAAAGAGTTACCACTCTTTCTTGTGCAGATCTTGTGGAGCTGGAGTGCACGTGGGTGCTGGGAACTGAACTCAGGTCCTCCTAAGTCCTGAATCATCTCTCCAGCTCCTCTATATCTGAATTCTGATCAGACCCAGCTCAGGTTTGGAAGGATGGGGAGAAGGAAGCACTGGAGGATATGACTTTCACATGCTTCCAAAGCTCTTTGCCAGTAGAGGCTGAGTCGCTTGGGGCAGCCGGCTTGTGATCATTTGCCTAGTTTCCTCCCCCAGGGGCTTGTGACCCACAGGTGCTCTTACTTTCTCCAGGATCTTCATAAACAGTGCTTCCAGTTGCTTTTGTTTTCTTAATGGGCTCATCTTGGACATCTCCCGGGAAACGGGGAACTGTACAGAGAGTGAGACTGTTGAGCAGAGGGAAACAGCAACAGGAACAACTAGCCACGTGACTCCGAGCATCACTTCAACCGTTCTGCAGCTTAGGATGCTCAAATGTTACATCCCGCAGTGCCCTCCCTGGCTTGAATCCTCTCTGTCACTCAATAGAATAGTTTTAGGGAAGAAAAGGACACACTCTTGTCTTTATAGTTGATGTCACCTTTGGCAACAGGGTGACTTTGAGCCCTGGATCAAACAGGACAGCAGAGTTATGAGGGAACATGACAAACACTGAATAAATGGCCATTTGGACTTCCCCGAGTATGGCGTTTTTTTAGATATCTCCATCGCCTTACAAGAAGATGCTATAAGGGGGTGTGGGTGTGGCTCAGTGGCAGGACAAGAGCTTAGCACGTGTGGGCCCTAAGCCCACCCTTAACTCCTATAATGAACTAAATAAATGGAAATTTTTAAAATGTGTGTTGTTTAAAATGGGCTAATTAGCTAGACTTCAAAAACCTTAAGGGACTTGCATTATCATTTTGGCTTACCTGAACGTCTTTAGGACTTGAAATAAATATTAACTAAGTGATTAAAAACATTTTTTTTTTAGATTTATGTGCTTGAGTGTTTTGTCTTCATGTATGTATATGCACCAAGTGCATGCCTGCTGCCCACAGAGGGCAGAGGAAGGTATCGGATCTCCTGGAGTGGGAGTTGTGAATGGTCGTGAGCCACCACGTGGGTGCTAGGAACTGAACCCGGGTCTTCTGCAAAACACAAGCGCTCTTAGCCATTTCTCTAGTCCCTTGACTAAGCGTTTTAAAGATTTTTGATTATGTATTTGTATGTGTTTCTGTATGAGTCTGTGCATGTGAGTACAAGTACCCACAGAGGGCAGAAGAGTACCCACAGAGGGCAGAAGAGTACCCACAGAGGGCAGAAGAGTACCCACAGAGGACAGAAGAGGGCATCGGATCCCCCTAGAGCTGGAGTTACAGGCAGTGGTTGGTTGGTTGTCAGCTGCCCAGTGTGGATGCTGGGAAGCTAATTCAGGTCCTCTGCATCAGCAGTAAATGCTTTTTAACAGATGAGCTCTCTCTCTGGCCCCAGATGACTAAGTTGTTTTAAAAAATGAATAGAAATGCACTTCAAGGAGAATGGAGAGACATTTTCTTTACTCTTGGACACTGCAGAAACAACTAGAAAAGGATAGGAAAGGCGTGCTGGCTAGTTTTATGTCAACTTGACACAATCTAGAGTCATCTGAGAGGCGGGAACCTCAATTGAGAAAATGCCTCCTTCAGATCTGGCTGCAGTCAACCTATAGGGCATTTTCTTAATTAGTGGTTAATGAGAGAAGGCTACTCCTGGGCCAGTGGTCCTGGGTTCTGTAAGAAAGCTGACAGGTGTGGTGGCACTCTGGAGGCAGAAGTAGGCAGAGCTCTGTGAGTTCGAGGCCAGCCTGGTTCTACAAGAGTTCTACAGAGAAACCTTGTCTCGGAAAAACAAAACAAAAGCAGACTGAGCAAGTCATGAGGAACAGGAAACAAGCCAGTAAGCAGCACCCCTCCATGGCCTCTGCATCAGCTCCTGCCTCCAGGTTCCTGCCCTGTTTGAGTTCCTGTCCTTCCTTTGATGATGGACTATGATCTAGAAGTCTAAGCCAAACAAACCCTTTCTTCCCCATTTTGCTTTTGGTCATGGTGTTCCATCACAGTAATGTTAATCTAAGACAAAGGTTAAAGGCACATAAAGTCACATAGCACCAGACAGGCAGGAGCCGCTATGCTTGGCCCATAGTTTTTTTTTTTTTTTTTTTTGCGCTGGACTCTAATGCAAGCTAGTTACCTGGACATGGAAGATGTCATTAAGAAGACAGTGGAATTTGTCATCCAACAGCATCTTGACTTTATTTTGAAGACTGGTCTGTCGTTCTTTGTAATGTTTACAAGTATCTAGACCTAGTACATTAGCCATGAATATCTGGATGGTATAAAAATTTTGATGGAAGCTGATCTTAGTCAGTGCAATAGCAATAGCCCTGTTCATAAGACAATCGAGAATCAGGAGAACATTTTAAATACAGTCCCTGGAAAAAGCAAAGGCTGAGGGAAGTTCTGATTTCTCATCCTCAGCTGCAAGGACGGAGATTTATCGAGCCACTGGGAAGCTGTTCTTTATTTCTGCTTCCAGTATCCCAACCCCTCCATCATTCCACTATGTTCACCTAGTTAACTATGTTCACCTAGTTATCTTCTTCCTAGTTCTGCTGTCACTGCCCAGCACCCGGCTCCCTTAGACTTGTGCCCATCCTCCTACAACAGCATGCCACTTCCAGTGCCTGCTGTCATTCAGCCTTCTGAAGGCAACTCCTTCAGGAACCTCAGTGATAGGGTGAGGTTCAGATTTGGTGGGGGAGGGCTGGGGATATAGTTCAGTGGTACAACATTGGCCTGGCGTGTGTGAAGCCTGGAGTCTGCTCCCTAGTACTACCCCGAGCAACCCAAAACCTGAACAAAACGAACAGAATGAGGCAGATCTTGCAGCATTTTCCTATTTAATGCTCTCTGGGGTTCCCATGGCCTATTTTGTGTGATGGTCAGACTCACCGAGTCTCAATCTGTCCTAACTCACTCCTACCTAGACTTCTACCCTCTACCACCACCAAGTATGAGAGTTCCCTATAAAGCCAGGCTGGGTCTCCTCTCTAGGACTTTGCTTCCTGCCTATCCAGGGATTAGTTAGCACTGATCACAGCCCCTCTTTTGCAATGGCCTCTTGGAAGACTTTCCTGGCGGCCTGAATTTAGGCTGCCTACCTCGTCTTTGCGTGTCTGCAATATTCCACTGCATACCTCTGCCACTGCCCTCCCCACAGTCTCTCTTGCCATCTCCTCTTCTAAGCTCCTTGAGAGGAGGGATCATAGGGCACTCCTACTCGGGGCACTGACACACTGGGAGCTGACTGGTGGTCTCCAAAATTCATGTGTTCCAACTACCGCAGAATGCGGCCTTGTGTGGGAACAGTGTGATTGCAGAGAGTCAATTAAGATGCGACTGTAATTTGAGCTGGGTGTGGTGGTACATGCCTGGAATCTCAGCATTCGGGAGGTGGGGCTAAGAGGATCAGGAGTTCAAGGCCGGCCTGGGCTACATGAACCCCTGCCTATAAGTAATACATACGTATAATAAGTAGCTATGTATACAAAGAAAACACACAGGGAAATGCTGTGTGAAGGCAGAAATTTAGTTGGTGTGTCTCTTCAAGCCGATGTGCCAAACACTTGCACCAAAGCACCAGAAGCTAGAAAAGAACAGGAGGGAGTTTTCTTAGTCCTGTGAGGGTGCTGACCCCGACGATGCCTGGATTGGGCTCTTAGCCTTTCTGCTTTGTGTGCTTGGTTCCAGTAGCCTGCTAACTAATACAGCACCTGGCAGTTCTTGAAGCATAGTGGGCATTTAGTAAGCAGTGTAATGACTCAGTGTTTCTTGCTGTAATTATCCCCTTTTGAAACCGGCTCTTCTTAGGCCTGACATTATAGAGAGATTATATCCCCTTTAGGTTATGAGGGGAAGACACGAGACACTGTTGTCACGGTCTTGGTCCACATGACTGTGCAATCTAGTCCCCCAGAGTGGCAGACAGCTCATCCCAGAGAGGGTCCTTCCGGCACTTCTTGGTTGAAAACACAGTATGGAGAAAGTACTCACACAAGCTCTGCCCTCCACATCGAAAGTCTAGGGGCCCAGCATTCTTTAGCCCCATTCTCAAAACTAAAGGGCTTAAAGCAGCAGCCCCCTACCGGGTTCCCCAGACAGACGCCAACTGTGGTTGCCACATCTCTGCTAGATGTCACAATCTACTTAGACACTGGGGTTAAGCAGGACGTTTCCAAGTCCCCAAGCTTGCCCTAACTAACTTGAGTTTTTTTCAGAAATCAGCCTCTTTTCTCTTCCTCTTGGTTTGAAACTTTTCTCACTAGTCACCTATTCAGCTACCAGGGTCATGATTCCCCAACTGTAGTTATCGAGTTCACCGAAGGCAAGTTATAGACAGGAGAAGACACCAAAATAAAGGGAAATTCTTTTAAGGATGCCAATATTTCCGAGGTCACAAGAAACACAATTTTAAGACACACTTACCTGTGGTTCTCAGGCTCGGAGGCCAGGCACTTGATTTTCATAAGTATCTGGCTTTTTCCATACCCTGGTAATCCTTCAAACATGAGGACTCGGCTGCAGCTCCTTATCAGAAAGTCCTCCATAGCGGACGTGAAGTAGTCGATCTCCCTAACACGTCCTGGTGTTTAGTTTTTTAAAGGAGCAAACCCATCAACAGAAAATAGTTTAGAAATAGACTTTAAAAGGCACACAGTGATACCCCTTCTAAGAATGAATGTCTTTGGAATGACCACGCCATCGCACATGGGACTTCTTTGTGGCTTTGTTTTGTCTCTCATTTTTCCTCTCAAGGCTGGCTGGCGTCAACGTTGCTATGTGGCTGAGATGAACTTGAAGCCCTGCACCTCCTGCTTCCGCCTCCCAAGGGCTGGGATTACAGGCCTGGGCCACTATACCCGACCTGACTTGTTCATGGAATTTCTTAAAGCTCTATGGATTCTTAACATTTTAAAAAATCTCTTTCTAAAGCTTTAGTTAGCAAGGTGATTTTGAAAGTTTATTTGGTTACTACAAGCTGTGAAGAAAAGCTCTTTTGTCCCCCCCGCACCCCCCCAGCAGGGCAGGGATGGAACCCAGAACCTCAGAATGCCAGGCAAATGCTTTTCCACTGCAACATATCTCTTTTATCAAGAGACAGTATTCATAAACTCACTGCAATTCCATTTAATTGTACTGTATAAAAATCGAGTTTTGGATAGATTATACAACTAGAAATTGAACCAAGGCTCTCTAACCCTAAAAATAGATCTTATTTTTCTGTTTTCTTTAACAGACTGATTATACAACTAGCACATGCTCCCTGTAGAAAATATGGAAAATGTAGGAGGAAAAAGACCAATATAAAAACTGTCCTGGGTGTCAACCCTATCACTTTTTTTTTCTTGGATGCCTTAAAATGTATGCAGTAGGAGGCCCAGGCTGAAACCCGATTCTCAGCCCACGGTCTCCAAACCCTGAGTGAACACGAAGGAGCTGCAAGAATTGGGCTTTCATAGCAACGAGCAATTTCTGTACAAAGAATTGGGGCTCATATTGGGTCATTTCTAGTTTCTTTGCTGGACAGACGATTAAGGGGGCCCCAGTTTTGTTAGCTGTGGGTAGATCACCCACATGTTCAGGTGTTATCTAATGTCTCTGCTGAAACAGGCTCATAAATTCAGGGAGAAGCATTCTAGAAAAGGAAGGTATGTATTTCACCTGGCAATGTAAGGTTCTGGGTGTTGTTTAACAGAAACCACTCTACAGATTCTATTGCCTCTCCATGGAAACATACCCTATGTGAAAATGCATCTGAACTTCAGGGATGTGAGCTGTGAGCGATCTTGTGAGACTTGGGGCTCACTTGGAAGATTGGTGTCAAAGGTTCATGTAGTAAAATCCTCTAGCTTTCTTGGTTCTGGTTATATGGAACACTGTCTTTCATTGGATGCTAAAATGACAGTTTTTGGTGGTTTTGTTTTGTTTTCCTTTTTCTCTGTATAACAGCCCTGACCATCCTGGAACTTGCCCTGTAGACCAGGCTGGCCTCAAACTCAGAGATTCACCTGCCGCTTCCTCCCCAATACTGGGATTTAAAGGTGTGTGCCACCACTGCCTGGCTTCTAAAATGAATTTTAAGTCAACTTATTTTTAAATATATGCATCATGTTTCTAAACAAATCTCTGGCAGACTTGCTCATGCCTACTTGTAATTCCAGCACTTGGGAGGTGAGGTAGGAGAATTAGGAGCTCAAGAGTAGCCTTGGCCACATAGCAAGTTCAAGGCCAGCTTGGGCAACATGAGACCCTGTCTCCAAAAAACCAAAAACAGTAAACAAAATCCTGCTACAACAATTGTCGTATACATTTTTAACCCTAATATTTATTGTTTTTCTGGGTAATTTTATTGCCTTCTGTCACAATTTTTTGGGGGGACAAGAATGCTTATCAAAGAACATTTCTAATACTGTTGCCCTCCTACAATTTGTCTTTGGATGTAACTTGAAGGGAAAGTGTGAACCTGATTTTTACCCATTCCTTTGGAATATGGCCTAAAGAGACTGGCCCATCAGCTGGAGCAGACTGAGGAATGTGCAGATCATCCCGTGTGCTATAAGATTACTGTCCATCTAGGGGAAAGGGCTAATCATTGCTACAATCACTTCTTGGAATGGAAAACAGGGTTTTATGGGAGGGTGAGCGTGAGCACTCTCCCTCCTCTGGGGCTTTGAGTGCGGAGAGTCTGGGTCTACCAGGCATAACTGCTTCAAGCTCGAGGTGGGGGATTTCTGTTGGGCCAACTGCTGCTGTACAGCTCAGAAATATTGACTTCCTTCAGGCTTTGCAGACACTAAGATTCCAGCCTAACATTCCTCCAAAGGAACGGACAGTCTCCTCTTAATGGTCCTGACACAGTTGTGACTAGGATTTAACTTTAGATATGTCTTCCAGGGATGTTAAATCTAACAGAAGGGATCAGCAATGGCTGCTCCAAATAACTGTCTTCTGAATCTGTATTCAGGCTACACCAAGTCTCCTCTTTCCCAAGTACATTACTGCCTCATTTAGATCTACTTCCCTCTCCAACTTGAGTTAGCTTTGACAGGGTCCTTGTCACCAAGACTACATCACTTCTGCCTAAATTGTAGATGAAAGTGTATTTGTGGGTGGCAGGGGACTGAACTGTGTGCATGTGAGGCACACACTCTCCTACCACGCTAGATCTCTAAGCCTTACACTTAAATATAAATGGTAAAACAATTTCTGGAAGAAAAGCTAAGAAATACTTTCAAAACATATGAGGAAAGATTTCTTAAATAGCACAGAGAAACACGGGCGTAAAACAAAAGACCAATAAATTGAATTCCATTACAGTTAAGAATTCTGCTCATTAAATATTAGGGCAGTGCTTGCTTTGGCAAAGCATACAACTGACAATGGAATAATACAGAGATAAACAGATACCATACAAATCTGTGAGGGGTTCCATATTTAAAGAGAAAGAGAAACCTAGTGTGGTGGCACAGGCTTGGAATACCATTACTCTGGAGGTGGAGACCAGAGGGTCAGAGGTTCAAGGTTGTCCTTGGGCATATAGCTAATTTAGAGCCATCTTGGGTTGTGAGGACTCTGTCTTGATAACTGTCACTACAACAAGAAAAATACACCAATAGACCCTGTCTCAAAAGAAAGAAAAAAAAAAAACCAGGCCCAAGTGAACAACAGAGAGATTTATATAATTGTTTTATGAAAAGATGGATAAAAGACAAAAAAGGAGCTTACCACATCAGAGCAATAATGAGTGGAAACTACACCAAGGGACCACTTATACCCCACAGAATTTCCAAGTCGCAAAGATGAAGGACAATGGTATCGTCTATTAAAATTACACTCTTTGTTCTGACAAGATCACTCATATATATACATATATGCACATGTATACGTTTACACACATACTAAACAAGCATTCATATTCATGCTTATTTATCATGTTGTTGTTTGGTTGTGTTGGTGCTTTGAGATGGTGTCCTGTACTCTGGCAATGTTCTTGCCTCAGCCTCCTGAGAGCTGGGATTACAGGAATCGTCTTCTATTATAAAATGTGTATAAAAAAAGACTTACATAAGAGTACTTATGGCAATATTGTCTGTAAGAACATGGAAATAACCCAAATCCTATATACCAGGAAAAATGAATGATGCATTTTATAGAATGGCATGAAATATAATAACCAAAAATTATTTCTAGAAACAGCCAACCACATGTATACATGTCATAACACACTGTTGAGTAGAAGACTGCCAGAGTATAGGACGCCATCTCAAACCACCACCAAACACAAAGAAAAACAAGCATGCATATGCATTGTCTAATATGTGTGAATGTATACATATGTGTGCATACATGTAGACATACGAGTGATATTGTCAGAACAAAGAGTATGCTGGGGAAAAGCCAAAGGTACACATAGGTATTTTCATGTGTGTTCACGTTGTATTTTTGTGCCCACATGCCAGGCAAGAACTAGGTATAGGGATGCAGAATTCAACTTCTCACTATTTCGCCCACGCCCCTCATCGCCCTACCAGCTGACCCTACAAGTATGAGCTCCTCAGTAGTGCCGAAGTCCCCTGACCAGTGACCGGGGTGTCAGGAGATGCTGTCCTCAACCTTTAAGCCAGGCTTTCTTCCCAGGGTCTTGTGAACCTTTTCCCTGACCATCCTGTGCTCTTCTCCTGCAGGCCCTTCCTGGGGAGTTGGTGCTTTATTTTTCTTTTGTTTTTTTCAAAGGGGGAGGGAGGAGAATCAGATTCTGTCCCAGTGGAGGGAAAGGTGCTGTCCAAGGAGGGGAGAAACAGGGAAGGCGGAGGGGTGTCCTCAGTAAGGCAGGGTGGTTAGACCATAAGCATGCGGGGGAGGGGGGGTCAAGATTAAAGAAAAAAAAAAGAGGCAGAAGGGCCAGAGGCTGAATAAGACTCTTAGTGGGTCACCATAAAGGTGGAGAGCCAGCCACAGAGGTGCTGTGGGATGGTCTGTATGTCAAATTGCTCTGATTGGTCA